CAAACGTCATCAGACAGTTCATGCGCTAGAGAACTCCATGCAGGCGTACTGGCACACTGCGCAACCCAGCCAAGTGACCTACATCCCGTCACTCGAGTTGATGAAGGAATCCTCATCATCAATGACCAAACAGCTAAGGTCAGAGTAGACAACGGTACTGAAGTCTGGGTACACGGTACGCACCTCGTTACCTTCGAGAGTCATGTCTTCATCAACGAAACCCTCTACGTCAACCACGATAAGGCCCACACGAGAACTCCAGGGGTAGCAAGATCATCATTGCTCAACATCACATTCAATCAAGATGTGCTCAGCCTCCCTTACCTTCAACGATTAAACGAACGTAACGTGGAGCTTATTAAGGAGTTCGACAAAAACATCGACACCAACCAGACGTACCGCATATCACTGATCGTGGGCGTATTCTGTTGTGCGATGATCTGTGTCGGTATGGTCTATCTGCATTTCTTCAAGGCCAGAAGATCGGCAGCCCAACTGAAGGAAGTCATTGCCGAGATAGCGCCGGCCGAGGGCGGCCTTAATCCAGAGGGGGGAGTAGTTAACAAGTTAACATAAGCTGACAGAAGTCAATGACATAAGCATTGATTTCTGTCCCTTATCCAACTCCGGCCGAAATTGCTGATGTTGCATTTGGGCCGGACGCTCGTGCACAGACGGCAAACACTGCATATTTGCGTGGCCGCTGTGAGTCTTTTGTTAGCTCTAAGTTTCATTCTTAAGTTCAGTTCATAATTGTCATTCAATAAAGCAAGAGCACAAGCTCATATGAATCTCCGACACTTAGTCGTTAAATCACTTATTAATTATTACACTGACTGAGTCCCTAGGCCAGCAGTATTGAAGGGAAGTCAACCTTCCAACCTAACCTTCCTATCTCAGCATTGGAGGTACCAGGCCAACCGGCCGCACACGGAGTAACCAGCTAACATCCATTGGAGACAACAGCGAGGGAATTCTGATAATTCATCTCCCCCCCCCCATACCTTTTTAATTTATATACTTTATAGGGTCGGAGATGTCTTCTTCAATTATAATACCCTCTGCAAGGGTATAAAAATGTATCCTTGTGTGGCGTGTTAAAAACATTGTGACAAGTGGTCATGTAACGTACAGTAATAGGAAAAAAATGAAAGAAATCCAAAAGTTTTATTCTGAATGCGAAGGTTGGGGACTATTAAATTTCTCTTTAACAAAAATTATTCGTAGGGCCCAAAATAAGTTTCCAAAAATTAACCACGCTGTAAAAAGAGGACCTTAAGACTGAATAAAATTAAATAATATTTAAAAAAAATTATTTTTATTTAAATTTAAAAAAAATTATGTGTTCTGACGAAGGGCAAATTGTTTTGTTTATAGAAAAAGGTATTGTTGTAGTATTGTTGTATAAAAATGTTTTTCATACTATGGCATACAATTAATGCAGTTAATCGATAAAGAATCAACATGTCTGCTTTGATATATTTGAAAACGTAATACCACTTTATATGAAATACAAAACGCCTTCATTGTAGGTTTTCCATTAGGACTATTTAAAACATAACAGCAAGAAAGGCCACCAATTGTTCGACACCATAAGCATTTAAAGATATAATTTAACCACAAAATATTGAGAGCATTACAGTATTTTTTTAGTTTTTTAAGACCTTTTTTTATTTTTGTGTCCTTTGGTCTCCCTTTACCATTCCTACATCAACAACGCGTCATTTGGGGTACATCCACGGAACGACTCAAGGTATTTGTCCCAAGGTTCAGCGATGAGGTAGCACATGGTGCATATAAATTGTAATGATAATGAGATAATCTATTTTCACACATTTTTGTCCTGAAGAGTGATGGCTGTACGTCTTAACTTGACTGTCACCATATAAACGTTAACCTTGAATAGAAACCGAAAAAACAGCCAGCGGCCGCAGCCCAGAAATCCGCAGATCCCAAATTGTTTTTTTACGGCTAATATCTATCATTTATTTATATTATGTAGTATTAAGTTAAAAAAATAATTAATATGGTTACGATTTTCTTGCAGAAACTTTTCCGAAAACAGTCAATCTAGGTCACCCATAGACTGAAATCAAAGTTTAGACGTAGGCAATAGTAACACAATTGCACTGCTCACACTTCTCGACTTTAGTAAAGTCTTTGATTCAGTAAATTATACAATCTCGGCAGCAGAAAAATCGTATAATCCAAATTAAAATGTAAACAATCGAGTGTAATCTATTGCAATCTACACCCGCCGGCATTATCATCTCTCCCACTGTCTCGCCATTTTGACATTGATTTTTGATATTTATCAACCGTCATCCGCGCTTTTTAGTTCCCTGTTTTGGTGTGTTTGTGATTTAAAAATAAATTTTCGATGAGCTTCTGCTTAATTTAAACCTTAAATAAATAACCAGCTCTATAGTTACATCTAATGCATTTGCGTGTCCTTACTTAAACAATAATGCTCGCAAAAAGCTGGCGGCGTCCACATTGGTGACCCCAATGCGCGTGCAACAAATTTAATAACAGCCAGAGGATTTTCGAAAAATTTCGTTAAAAGCAGCTAAAATTTGTTTATCAAGCGAAGACTGAACAAACGGTAATGTTCACTTCTTCTTTTGAAACTATACCTTATTATTATCCCGCAGGCTGAGATCACGCTTCATACTCGACTTTGTACAAGCTGTAATTGTCGTGTTTGTGGCAATAGGCATTACACAGTAGTACATTTTGATATAAACTCTTCTCACCCAACAATCGAATCTGGTTCTGCTTTTATGTCTGAAGTTAATGCTTCCGGTTCTCATTCAACTAACGCTCTTTTCGTTCATGGTTCAGCTTCTGATTTTGAACTATTGGCCATTTCTGATGAACTCGCACAGCAGTTTTAGCTTTAAACATAGAGAAACGTTATAGTTGAGGGCCACGTTTATAAGATACCTGTTACTCGGCTAAAAAAATTTCAAAAAAACTCTCAAATATATGAACCCCGCTTTTAAATATGCGATGACGTCATAATTAACACTTAATATGTTCTGTAACTTGTAAAGTGATTCGGAAAAAACTTTGGAGAGTTGATAGATATAGACTGAATAAGTATTTAAGTGATAGTTTTGACATATTCCTCACAATAACTGGCTTCTACAAAGTCCCCAAAATGTTTGGTGATCTGGAGTGGGCGTTGGAAAATTTTGAAAGAAAACCTAAAATGTTCATGCTAAATCCCAAATCTCTAGCTCTTGTAGTTTCCGAGATCTTGACGTTCATACGAACGGTCAGACAGACAAGGCTTAATCGACTCGGCTATTGATCCTGATCAGGAATATATATACTTCATAGGGTCTGACACGCTTCCTTTGGACTGGCCACTAATACACCGACGTAACATCTTATTCGACTTTGTCAGCGTGACTATGTCGATTCGCAACAGGCCTCCAATAAATAAAGTACTTCATCTCGGTCTTTTTTTGCTTTACAACCAAGGCATTTAGACCTTGTTCAGAACGTAAAACAAAAACTCGGTGCGCTAAAGCAACTCATTGCATGGCAAGGAAAGCTTGATCAAGTTTGGAGTCATAACGTTGCTCACACAACTCTGAGTCTCAAAAAATGAACTTCACGAGTAATTTCGATTGATGTTGAGCGGCGCTCATTCTGCTGCTGTAAGCCAATTTGTTCTGACAATATCAATTGGCGCTTTATTCCTCCTTGATTGCCTTATATTAATGGTTTATGGGAGGCAGCAGTAAAATCTGCAAAGGGTTAGTGTGTTAGGTTTCTGCAATCGTTAACAAGTGTAAAAGTTTATCCGATCGCTATAAAAATAAATTTTTGTTGTCGCTTCTACGGATTTAGAATTCAAACAAAAAACAAATTCAATAGTTACACCGAATGAATTAGCGTGCCCTTGAACCAGTCTTGCTTTTAATGTACGTTAATAACCTTTAGACTGTAGTGTCACATAGTAAAATTAACATGTATGCTAATGTTGTGGAATTACATGGTTGGTGCTCTTTTACATCGTATGACATTATTCGTGCGTAAAATTCTGATCTCTCAAGTATAAGCCAATGGGCACGTGCAAATGCCCTTGCTTTGACCTTGAGAAAATCAAAACACATCATGATTTATTATGTTGATCGACAAAACCCCATGTGCGAGCCAAGCAGTTAACCTAGGTGTGACTTTAAACAACACTCTAACCTGAAATGACCATATAACCAAAGCAGTATGTAAATCGTATAGGCTATTACCTAAAAAACCTAATCCAACAATAGCTTCCAGTCGATAATTTAGACCTGAAAAATCATATATAGGAGAAAAAAAACCTGAGATAATTGCTGTTTGCAGCATAAGCTTTCTTGGCGCAAATTAACAATAAACTAGAAATAAGCTACAACAGCAGTTGCAGGACCATGCAGTGCGGGCGGAAACTCTGTGGGCACGTGAGCCGGAACAACTTCAACATATTTTGTAGCCGCGCGCGCTGCTACAGAGATGCTTTTTAATTAGTTGAAATACCCACGCACTCGCCCATGTTAACTTCTAAGTCTCAACACGAATGGGGAATATTGTTAGACCCTTGCTAAGGGTATTATTAATTTTGTCAAATGTTAGTAACGCATTGAAGGAGAAATTTCCGCCTCTCAAAAGAGTATACAGCAACTAGGCGAGATAATATAGCCATGTTCGACAGATTTTATACCGTTTGCGTGTAAGGGCTAGAGATTTTAAACTTTCGCAATTTTTTTTTTTCAATTGAACGTCCATATCATATAGATGCTATCGTACGAAGTGCACGAGTATTAAAAATTTGGCTTGTCGAAGTTGGCTTACATTTAAAGTTACATAGGTAACATATTTACATTCTATATAAAATTTGATATTATTTTTATAAGGACTTAATATAGTTTGGAGAGCATAAATTTCGGTAAAACCAAAAGAATTATAGACTCTATTGGAACTTCGAATTCATTAAAAATGGGTTTACATACCTGATTCAAAGTTAGGAGATTCACTATCGTCTAATATTTCAATTATTTGATCCATATTGCGCATAAATTGTTGATATGTTTGCGAACGAGTGACTTCATCCTTATAACATTTTGTATTCGATATAGGAATTATTCTTTCGACCCGACGCATTTTAGGTTTAGAAACTACAAAATTTAAATTAATGAGAATTATGAATTTTTATATAAAAAAAATAATAATAAATTAATTAACTATACTTACATATTTGCTCAGGTGGAATGTCACCAATTGATATAGCCAGTTTTCGTTTTGCAGAAAATCGTTTTTCATCGGCTTTTATAGTCGAAAACGTGTCGATTGGAATGTTGTCTTTATTAGAAGTAGTAGTGGCACCACTCACTGTTACTAAATCCGATTCTTGTAGTAACCCCATACTTCTAGCCAATTCTGGTGACTTTTGTACAAACTTTTTAATACTTTTTTGCATAAGGCGACTATCCTCAATATTAAGACGATTTATACATACCCGAACCTGAGACTTGCCACTTGATGAAGTAGAAGTCGATGTAGTTGTTGATGCAATATGGTTTTGTTGATGTTGAAGGCTACTTTTATTAATTACAAGTGAGTTCGTACCTTCTTCCAATTCTTGGGGGTTCGAATCCGAAATGTATATGACTTGGTTTGGTGATTTTTTTGTAATATATTGTATTGGAGAGTTTTGTGATTGAGTTTCAGTCATTGGTTGACTTGGTAAATACAATACATTTTGATTATTCAGAGAATTTATTTGAAAATTGGGATTCTCTAAAGCATGTGGAAAGACATCACAAATGTTTTGAACGGATTGGTGATCTACTGATGTTGTTTGATCAAAATCGAATTTTGAATTATAATTGAGTACTTGTTGGTTTTGTAGTAATGTTTGCATAGAATTATTTTCTGATTTATCAAGGATTTTCATTTGAGAATTTGATTTTGATATTTCAAATGGATTTTCATCAGAATTTTGAATGTCTTTTTTTTTTCTGTTCTCTATTGTCGTTTCCTTAATATTTATTTGTGAAAATTCTTCTGACATTTCTCTTGATGCAATTCTAAAATATTTTAATATTAGTATTGTCAGAAATGGTAAAGTGTATCACGCACCTGGTAAACTGATCACTACATGTCTGCGATTGTTGGTCTTGCAGTAATTCTTCTCTTGTAGTTGATGTACAACATTTCGGTGTTAAGAAGGAATCTAGTTGAATTTTTGTTTCATCGAGTCGAACATTTACAGTACGTTTGTCAGGAGAGACTGTGGGTGGGTTTTATTTAATACACGCAGACTTTTTTTTATGAAAACTTACGTGTCCTAATTGATGTTTCGAAAACCGCTGGGCGAAAATTATAAATGCCCTGGAGTAGCTCTGGATGAGTACTAGAGTTAGCTCCTTGTTCTTCATTAGCGTAATGTGATCTTAGCTCGCTAAAAAGTATATTAAAATAGTTTTATATTTCAGTTGAATTAACTCTACTTACATATTGTCAGAGTTTGTTCTTTCAATTGCCTTTACTAATTGCCGCACCAGATTTTCATCACGCACAGAAAGTAAATTGTTGGATTCACTGGCCACTAACGCATGGAATAGTAGAGACTTATTTAAGGACGCTGCACTCTGGAGCGAATCCGATACTGGCAACTCGCTCAGCACTTGATTTTAAAATGAAAGAAACAAAGTTTGTAAAAATAATATGTTCTGGATGAATGGGAATCACCTTGTGACCAAAATATGACTTACGATCAGAAGTGCTGGTTAAACCTGATAACGTTGTTACAGGTACGGTCGGGATGTCACGGTCCCCCATCTTTAATTACAATCTGATTCGATTAGATTTTAATTCTTTTTGTGGTATTTTTTTAAGTTCTATTTATTGGTTACAATATGTAGGTTACACATACATTAGTGTACATAAAATAGAACATGTATATATACACAAAAATGTATATTACATATTTTATTGTTGGCAAAAAAGGCTTTGATGCAGAAACGACAAGTAAAGCTAAAGAACAATGGTAATGTAATTAAACTACATTTATTTGCATTGTTCAATTTCGACTATGTATATGTATGTACATAAGTATCTACATTATCCTACACTGTATTTTTGTGGCATTTTTTGTATCCAATTACATTTTTTACGTTTTATATTTAAATTTTCACTTTTAAAAATTTAAAGATAGTTAATAATAGTAAGTTTAGTTAAAAAATAATAACAAATACTTTAGAAGGTGAAAAACTTCACATCCCAATCAAGCCGTCGTTATAATGACCTTATTATATGTACAACATTTTTACAGATTAACATCAGTTAATAACACTTTTGCACATTTGTTAGCAAAATAAAAACACCCTCAATTTCTATTTAGTTTTATTTATTTAACTTCACAAATAGTAAGTTTAGGAATATGGCCAACTGGAAAGTTGGAAAACTGGCACCTCGAAACAAAGTTATACCTAAATCTCACAGAGCACATTCCAGTGGAACGGTTGGAAATTTTGATGTGAAACTACGTATCCTACTACTTACTTTTTAGACGGGGAGCGAAGGCTCAATCTCTGCTCTCGTTTTATTTATTGCAATGGCCTGAGATGATTTAAAAAATATTAAGATAACTTGTAAGGAAAATCTTATAGCCTATTCCCACAAAGCCCTTCCATGGACCAGAGCGTTTCTGGTTTTCTAGACTGTAATTCCCCCTTCCAATAGAGTCCATCCGTTCGAAACGGTTGGGATTTTTGAGCACTCCGATTTCCACAGAGCACATCCACCATCCGATAACAGTTGATCTGAACAGCTGTCCCTACTCATTATAGACTGTTTTGCACAACTTAGTAAAAGACGGCAAGTGACATACGCGAACAGCACAATGAGACTAATATGTCTACAGATTTTTGCCAGTCAGTAGAAAAAATATGAACAGCTATTGCCCAATATTGTCTAAATGGTATTAAATCAAGTTTATTAAATATAAATATGTTTGTTTAATTAAAATTTTGTATATATTTTTTTTTAATGTCAAGGATGGCAGACAGCTGGACTCAATTCAATGACAGGATCTCGGTCTGCGCTCGCTGCTCCGGCAGCCTTTCTCGAGCGCTATCTCCACAAGCTCTGCCTTCTGGTCCACCTTTGCGCGCTTTGCAGGGGGCGCAGAGGTGTCAGAGCATTGACTTCTGCTGCAGAGTCTTTCATGTCATCGGGGTCCACATTTTAGACCTTCACAAAGTATTCCCTAGTACTTGCAATAAATGTATTTTATTAGTTAATTGTAAACCACAAATATAAGTCTATATATAAAAAAAGAGTGGAGCTGTCTCAAGGATGCTTGACAATAAAAAGGAAATGAAATATGAAATTGTAATAAAACAAAAAACAAACATATTTGTTACCATTTAGACAATATTGGGCAATAGCTGTTCATTTGCAGGCTGGCAGACATATTAATCCGATTTGGTTATTCGCGTAGATCACTTGCAGTCTGTTACCAAGCATCATTTATATATTATTATAGCGCAATCATTAGATGCCTCGGTGGCTTCTCAGCAGCAGATTAGAGTAAAGCCTAGTTTTCAGATCGACAAACGAGTACGCTAGCGTAAAAACTTTAATCTTTCCAGTGTGACCAAAATTTCGAGAGCTCATCAGATTTAATTGTGCTACGGTCGTACTGTCAATCAGCTGGGTTTGTTGACAAGCAGTTAAAATTCAAATATCGTATTTGCGGGAAAGAGCCTTTAAAAGGTATTATCAAATAACTTGGCAAGACAAGTCTGCCGCTCTACAAAGATTATTAAAAAACAATAAAATTTAAATTTAACAGTTGTTTTTTTTCATTTACTGAAAATTATTTGCTAATTTAAAGTTCATAGCTGCACATTTATTGTGTTTTTTGGTACATTCTTGACCTAAAAAACAGTTTGCTCTGACAAGGGGCACCCCAGATAGTATTAATGTTATTTTGTCCTCACATGTAAACTCCTTCAATCAACTTTTGCGAGTTTTTTGAGTTTTTCCCTCCATTTCTTATAATGTTCAGTGAGAAGCGCACGCCAAAAGATTAAATTCTTAAATCTTTTCGCTAGGGTTCACCCAAAGTTCATTTCCGCAGACTGGCAACGCTATGCAATTTTCTGGTATTTTTTTCGTCGATCTGAGTAGCGACGTAAAAAAAAGGCCCGACGAAAAGTGAACACCAGCTGTTTGCCTCTCGCTCTCTCTCATGACTGGCGGACAGTTTTTGTCGATCGGAGTACTAGGCTTAAGATTGTAAGCAATAAAAATCTCACTCAAGAAAGGCAACCAGCGGGGAGCGTTCCTCATATAGAAAGCAACTAAAGCTATTGGAACCACATCCTTAACGTGGAAACAAATTCAGATTCTATGTTTTCACGCCAATATCTATAGTTATACCAGAGAAAGAAAACATTAAAGTAATGAGTAGCTATTAATACAATTTTTGGTAGGATTGTTGCAGGCTCGTAATCATAATCACAAAACTCCCGCTCTGACACATCACGCGTATCTTGACACGATGGTCCGATCTGTTATAGAGATAACAGTCTTCACCCTAGACAGAGTCTCTTAGACTCCAGTGACCCCACACCTTTAGACTTTTAAGGAGCGAAATTGAAACTACGAAATGGAGTTTCAACTGTTGGCGCCACCGGCAATCACTGCCTGGAACAGATCGATGTTATGACCTTGTACAACATAGCAAGGGTTGAACCGTGGGATCGCAGGTCAAGATCGTCGGAACTCAGTGGAATCCATGACACGATGTGATATTAATTAAAACAACCGATTTTTATTTCAGCGTTCTTCCCACAAAACTAGAATTATTATCTCAACTGTCCAGATGATGAACTCGGGATTACAGCGCTCACAAAAGGCGGCTCTTAAAATCATCAGGTTGTCAAATATCTCCCTTCCCCTTTTTTTGGTTTTTGAATTTAGCGGCTGTGTGCAAAGCGCTACATATCGGTATCGGGCAATGTTATATATCGATTGAAAGGTCTTGACATAACCTACAAAACGACGGTATTCCTAACAAGTTTGGTTGCGTTGAAAAGATATACATGTGCAAACATCGAGTTCGCTAACGCCGAAATTCGCTCTGTTTTAAAGTTTATCTTCGTAAAAGTTAAATCCGCTCGAGAAACATTTCGTGAGATTAATGGTGTTTTATGGGATAGTACTCTATCACTTCGAACCGCAGAGGAGTGGTTGGATACAAAAAAAAGCTGAATGTTTGGGTGCCTCTTGATTTGACGCAAAAAAACCTGTTGGGCAGAATCAACGCCTGCGATATGCTTCTGAAACGGAATGAACTCGACCCATTTTTGAAGCGGATGGTGACTGGCGACGAAAAATGGATCAAGCGAAAACTGTCGTGGTTAAAGGCCGGTCTAAAACAGTGGCCAGACGCTTAATTTTACCATCTACTGCGAGCAACTGGACCGATTGAAGCTGGCGATCGACCAGAAGCGACCAGAATTGGCCGACAGGCAGGGTGTAGTGTTTCACCAGGACAACGCCAAACCACACACTTCTTTGATGACTCGTCAGAAGCTACAGGAGCTCGGATGGGAGATTTTATCGCATCCACCAAGTGACTACCACCTGTTCCTGGCCATGGCGAATGCCCTTACTGGTCTAAAGTTGGGCTCAAAAGAGGGTTGTGAAAAGGGGCAGTCAGAGTTTTTCACAAATAAGGAGGGAAGTTTCTACAAGGGGGTATTATGAAGTAGCCGTCTAAGTGGGAACACATTATCGAACAAAACGGCGCATATTTTAGCTAAATCCGAATCAATTTTTATAAAGCATTAAATAAAGATCAAAAAAGCGGAAGGGAGTTATTTGACAACCTACTACATTGAAACGACCCAATCCCGAAACCCTGAACTGATGCAGCGGAGCATTATTTGAAGACATTCCCTCGCTAACACATGGTTAAGTACCCCGAATAATTTCTCCACCATTGCCAATACATCCAATTGCACGGATTCACCGGAGACAATCGTGTTGCAATTGCAGACAGGTTTAATATTACCTCGACTTCGCATATAGAAACCTTCATCCATCCAAGCTTCTCGATCATGAAATTTGTTGAAGGGCCCATCTATACGACTGGCCGTCGTCGACTAGCCAGTTTCAAATTTCTACGAATCTGTATGTCAGTACCGATTAAAGCTCAGACATACTTACACCAATACACAGATTTATTGATGAATATATCGACAAATTACCTATCTTATAGAGGTAACTAGGTATTCATATCGTTTCGTTGAACGCTGCTGGCAGCACGATGCAGATTCATCGAAAGGCTAAAAATAAAAAAATAAATATTCGCAGCTAGAAATCTGACGCTAGTTTCAATCCAAATTGCAGTTGATCCGGTTGAGGAAAGGGTTGGAATTTTAAAAAGTTCAAGCTCTACAGCTTCATTGATATGAGAAGTGTCCGAGCATTCGTATGGAAAAGTGGCAAACGATTTTGAAGGAGAAAGAGAGACCGGTTATTGCAGGATTAAAGCTTTTCAAAAAGGTAATCTACCCAAAAGCTAAACAGTTTCAGCACATGCATCAGAGAGACATGAAGACTGCACGGAAATTAAAACGAAATGCTACCGCATGATTAGTCAACCTGAAAAGTAACAATCGTCAAGTCAAAACTAGAAAAGTTCTTGATACGGGAGCAGGTACCGACTGTATTGGACGTGCGGATTTTACAAAGAAGAGAGGAGAATATGCTGATTTTAACGAAAAATAATGTTCAAGCCACAAGCGGAATGATCATATGCCAGTGAATTTTGAAACCCAGCTTAACTTAACCGCGCTTACTAAGTTTAAGATATTGGGAAATGCCGTACTAACTGATACACTTATCCTATGACCCGCATGCGAATCCACAGGCCCAAACTTCATAGTAGAAGGAGGCATAGAAAAACACCTAGCCCGTTATATCAAAGTTTTGGTACCGCAGGGGTAGCATGATTGCGACGTGGTGCCGTAATATTTTAACGCCTTTGTTTTCATTTTTGGTTCATTTTTGAAGAAGACCAAATCTTCTTCCTTAATCCTGATTTTAAATTCTATCTATTCAACTATAAAGCACTAGCTCCTGCAGCTTTAAATGCCAAAAAGAATTTGTTTTAATAACCACATTAAAAACACACGAAATGTGAACATGTGCAAAAAACTATACCGCCTCCGCCGAGATTTACCGCCGTCACAATCTTCATTTTATTTTTCTTTTTGTTTAAAGGCTGTTATGTTGTTGTGTAGGGACACGTTATCTATTGTTTGCTGTGACAAATCAAGGTCTTATAAAAGCTCTAGCAAGTGCTCATATAATTTTACATATGTTTTCCTACAGAAGCTCAGCTCTCTCTCATCGCTGGATTTATAAAAATGTCAAAGCGATTCAGGAATAAACGTTTT